CTAAAAATAAAAGTAAGTTAAACAAATTAAAATGAATGAGATACTAAATTTTTAGCTAGATTAACACACAACTTAACTTTATGATTGGTGATCTAGGGGTGTCGGGTACGAATTTTCGAAAATTCTATAATATTTATTCAGATTTTATATTTATATTAAAAAGGTATTAAATATAAAAGATATATTTGTTTAGAGAACCCAACAACAAAAAAATCACGTAACAAATAAATATAAATTTTATAAATTAATTACTAATAAAAAATCATATAGCTAATTCCATTTGTTGGTAACTTTGGAGTAGTTGTTGTTGCTACATTTGTTTTCTAGTGGATTAGGACATGGAGCTAGACTTTATAAATTTTCAATTAAATTTAATAGCTTCAATTCAAACTTAATAACTATCTTAGGAAATTTATTGAATATATGACAAAATTAAGAGTTTTAATAATTACGTTAAAAGTAACAGAAAATAGACTATCATTTCTAGTATATTAGTAATAAAAAAACCTTCTTTCCTAGATGGAAATTTGGTTCTTACGCGTATAATTTACAGCTAAGAATTTATAGGAAAAGTATGTCAATATATCAATTTATGTCTATTTATTCATAATTCACATTATTGGTTCCCATGCAATAACAGAGGACGTTGCATGCACCATGCACTTTAATAATTGAGTTAGTTCGTAATAAACACCTCTATTTTCTTTATTGTTCATGTTAATTAATTTGCTACTGTGATTGTACTATTTGACATGCATCGATCATTTGAGCCGAGAAATTTATCAGAATAAGTCTCTTATATAAATATGAGATTTACATATATTTTATTTTTTCAGACTCTACTTTGTGAAATCATAGAATTATTATTGTAAATTTCGTTCGGCTTATAACTATATTAACACCATGCACAAAGTAAAGTTTTTTGGGATCCAAAATGATTTTATAAATAACAAAAATCAAAGATATCTCATATATACTTCTAGAAGTTCTTCTGTTTTCCCTTCGTTTGTACGTAACCTGATCTTTTTCTTCTTTTATAAGCATTGCTTTCCTTCATTTATCACGTTTCACTTTAAGAGAGTGAAATTGATTAATATCTAAGTTAAATTAAATTAGATAAATTTAATATTTAAATTTAAATTTAAAGATATTAGAAACTTGTACAAAAAATACTTTAAATTTAGTTATCCTCTTGTATTAATATAATAAAAAAATACATTTTAAAATGTAAATCAACATCGTATAGTTTTCAATAAACAGACGTGACAAGTAAAAACTAGCGGAAAAGTAACATATAAATAAATCACAAAAATTAAATTTAATGTCTATGTACATTTATAAGAATAATTTTATAATTTTACATATTATGAAATTTGTTCCATTTAATCTTAAAGAAACTTATCAAACATGCTATGATTATATATAAATTATATGATATATATATTGGTAAGAAATAACAGATACTCGATAACACAAATTATTCCGAACACCATTATCACAAAAAATAATTATAGTGTGTTTGGTACGTGAAGTCATGCATGAATTGCACACTTCCCTCGATTGATCAGTCCGATAATATAATGACGGTTGCAGGAAGATCTTTTTATGATATTATGGTATTATGTTAATGTTCAAGTTGAGGCAATTAATGCCACTAATTCTATCTTGTTTAATTAGCTTAATTAATTAACTTATGTAGGTTTAAGTGCAAAGAATCAGAATAAGGACAACCTGTAAAATCATACACTTTAAAACCTTTTTCTAATGGATCGATCATACACTCCTAGAAGATCCACGGAATTAATGAGGAGTGGCGTCCCAAAATATTATCGCGTTTTTTTAAAGTCAAACTATATGAATTTTGATCAATATTTTATGAACGCGACGATAACCAAACATATGATACAGAGCTCGGCTGTCAATGTTGGCTAGTAAGCCCACATCTATTAAATGCACACATGGTGGATCACCCTATATATATATCGAATGATAATAATACAGTTATCATTAAAAAAAAATATTGTCATTGAATGTCTCTTTTATTATCATGCTATTTCAATATTTTGTTTACATTTGGTGTTTAGAATATAGTTTTGTTTTGTAAAAAAAAAATTGTTTCTCTCAATCTAGAAAAACAAACTATGCTAAGGATAAATTAAAGTTGAAAAATTAACTAATTATTTTTTAATTTTCTAAAAAAAAACAAAAGAACATCTATATATTTTTAGCAAACATGACAACTAACTACAAATAAAAGGAATATATACAACCTATTTTTGGTAATAAAATAAATATCTCCATATATAATCAGTTGTTAAATGTTGACCTTGAAATAACTGAAGAGCCATAAATGATCAAAGTTTTGGACATGCTTGGGTAGTTGTTTGCTTTGAATTATGCATGCCTCAAATCCAATAAAATTCTAAAAAAAAATAGTTTTTTAGTTTATTTTTTTTACAACTACAATAATAATATATATCGGTATAGTTTTACAAGTGGAGCCTGAAGATTGATAAGATGTACGCAAATATTATTCCTATATTTATGTGGTTAGAAGACTGTTTTTGATGGACCATATGTATGAAATTTAATTTTTTTTAGTGGTTTGTCGTTAATTCATAGTTTTCTTTAACTATGAATTATTTGATTAATCACGTTTTCATTTCTCTCATTTTTACTTACTTTATGAATAATGAACGTGCGAATTACTTGGTTACATTACTTTATATTCTTCTAGAAATTCTTTACACTCTGGATTAGTTTAATTATTTCCCTTTTTCAAAATAATTATGGAGATACTTTTGAGCCAGTCTTTATTTACTTGGATTATTAAGGAATAATAATTGTCTTTATGAATTAAGATTAAACTTAGATAAGAGGGTAAGCGAGTAGCCGAGTAGAATGTTAATAGGTAGTTGAGTTTAATTTGCTTTTTGATCGATTTAGGCATGTGGGAGTCGTCATGTGTTTGTTGTAGTATTAGTCTTATATATGTATTTTCTTTTCAGTTATCACATTATTTTATGGTTACGTTGTCACTGATTGCTTTCCTTATTAATTGATATGTTTTCTTCATTGTCGTATTTCCATTTTCGTAAAATTATACGACAATAATATTTCAAAACAACTTCTTTATTTCAACGAGATAATGATAAAGCCTACTTATATTCTATACTTCCAAAACCTTACTAGTAAAATTACACTAGCTATATTGTTATTTCTTTGGGTTCTATTATTTTTATACACTTTTTGACATTATTGTGAACCAATTAACTCGAAGACAGGTAGTTGGAATTTATTCCGTTTTTGAAGATAAAGAGTATTAGCTGGCAGCCTACCTGAAACGTGGTAGGCAAAATAATTTTTTTTTCTTTTACAAAGTTAATTGAGTAATATACTAGTAAAGAATAATACAAGATTTAAGTGAGCTCAAATAATGATAGTAAAGAATAATTCAATCTACATTACCAGACCAATACACTTTCTCTAAAAAAACAAAAACAAATCCATTACATAGTATAGGATTGAGAAAAGGAATAGAGGAAAATGAATTCATTAACACCTATTGAGTATGAGAACTCTAATCGATATTACTAAATTATAATAACAACGATAGATGAGTATAATTAAAACTTGAATTTTTAACTTCATTCTCGTAAGTCTATAGTTAATTTGAAACGACTAAACATTTAAATATTTTGTAATTTTCGATTATGCATTAAATGGTGGTCCATAGTTGTCTTCACTATCCATGCACTTGCCCAATTTTTCAAGGGAGTTGAATCCTTATAAACTCCAAATTATAGGCTACTAGTCCTTAGCGGGCCTTCGAATGATTGGTCCAAATCAAATAATAATAATAACCTTTTGGATTCAAGACCCAAAACAAATTACTATGAATTTAGTAGCTTTATGCATTGAACCGATCGATAGGGCAAAAAACATTGATGTTAACATGTAATTTTAAGAAATAACAGACCAAAGAAAGTTGCTCGGGTGATAAGCACACCCCCTATTTCCAACTCAAAGGTTGTGAGAGTTTTTAAAATGGAAAAATTGTATATATAGTAAACTATTAATTCAAATTAAATGTTATAACCATAGTATGATTTAATTGTACCCCATAACAAACTGTTGTTATTTCGCCTCTCTCCCTGGTGAATCTCGCTCGCCACTCTCGTTCTCACTGGGCAGTCTCACTCGCCTCTCTCGCTTTTATACAAACACAAATGTATAAAATGTGTTTGTGTTTGTATAAAGCAAGAGAAAATTGTATATACACATATTTTCGTTCCCTTCTCTCCCCCCTTCCAAATCTCGCTCGCCACTCTCCTAGATCTCGCTCGCCATTCTCACTCGCCTCTCTCACTTTATATAAACACAAATGTATACATTGCGTTTGTGTTTGTATAAAGTGAGAGAAAATTGTATATACATTTAATGCATATATTTTCGTCCTATACACTTATGATTATACAAATACGATATTCCCCTGCCCAGTTTTCTTTTGTCTTTCTCTCTTTCTCACTTTATACAAACACAGATTATACAATTGATTCTTTTGAATATGTATACCGAAACAGATTATACAATTGCTTCTTTTGTATGTATAGTGAAATAGCCATAGCAAATATAAAATTTATTATGGAGCGCAATTATGCAAACTATAGCTATAACATACAAATATAATTTTTATGTTTGCTATATGTGAAATTCACTCTTTTAAAATTCGCTCTCTATTACTTATACAACAATATCAAACTTTACCGCTAACTTTGTGGGATAGTGATGCACAACAAAATAAGGTACAAAATACAGGAAACTTTTCTCCATTTCTCTAAATTACTTTCTCCGTAAAAGTACAATACTAGTTAGAACTTAGTATCCATGAGATATTTAACCAAAAAAAAACTGTGTCGTCTACAGAAAATCTAAGGTAATTTCTACAATACTTTTTGTTTCCTGAGGTAGAAAATATGAATAAAAAAGAAACCCTGTAACATACGTAGAAAAAACTGCGTGGGAGGCAAGAAAACTATACATAGTTTACCTATACTATAATGGGTTTGGCTATTTGTTTCGAGGTTAGACGGGCACTGATAAACCCAATCGACAAATTTGAGACACTGGAGGAGCCTCCCAATAAGCAGTTTTTTTCATTAATTCCGCGAAATCTTTCACACACTGCTCCATTTTTAGATTTTCAACTCGTTGTCTCGCTGCAGCTAGTTTATTACCGGCCACTTGGTCGAATATTTTCTGCCAACCACTCTCCCACTCAGCATGGGCATCACAGAGCTGAAGGGTGCTATTGGCCCAGTCGGTCCAGCTCCATCCTCTGTACAGTTTGTTCATCATGAGGCCAACGCAGTGGTGAGTGCACGGAGGTGTGCAAGGCCGGCACTTGGCACCACTTAATGGGCCTGGACTAGAAAGTGCTGCTACTGGAACACCAAAACGGGGTGGTGGAAAATCATAGCTACGATCTGATACAACACAAAATGGGAGGCGCTTAGAGATGTAGGGAACTCTGTGGATAGTCAGTTGGGCCTTGAATGCACCCTCGGAGTTGAGGAGATGGTATCTGGCTGCATCCAACTCAGGAATCAAGGAGAGCCGTGAAAGAGCAACTACAGAAGTGTTGTAGTCACCAAGGCCAAAGCGATCATTTAAGCCACCGTAGGATGAACCAGAAGGGACTAAATAGGCACCGGGAATGAAGTCCTCGGGTGATAGTGGAGAGTTCCAGTATCCATCAACTCGGGTACGGATTATCCAATCATAAGTGAAGTTGTTCTTGTGCTGGTAGGCTTGAATCATCGTCAAGCAACCCTCAACCAGGTTGAAATATTGCAGGAGGCCCTGCCATACAGAATAGTAAAATTTCGGTTACAATTTTTGGGAATTAGAAAAAAGCTAGTGTAGGTTATTAGCATTCCAGATTGTTAAATCTTAAATGTACTTCCCTTTTTTCTCTTTAAAATATGATAATCTTTCTTCAATATAAGAACAACAACAACTACAACATACCCAGTGTAATCTCACACGTAAGGTCTGGGGAGGGTAGAGTATGAGCAGACCTTACCTCTACCTCGTAAATAGAGAGGTTATTTCCGATAGACAAAATAAACTACCAACCAGCGGAAAGGCGGGAGTGATTTCTACATATTCCTCTCTGCTTTCATTTATTATGAGATTTTAACTACTATAGGAAACTCTTCAACATCTTTTCAACCGTCGATCTTCATTTTATAAGATTCCAAACATTTTTCCACAGAGACAAGTCTAACTTGTAGTAATGGGGCTGTCCTTTATTATTTTATCTGGTTCTAAATGTATTTTTCTTTCTTTTGGTGAACCATACAGATGTGCAGATATAGCAGTAGTAGTGGACATGATCGGCTTACACCCCATTTGTAAGAGCTAGAGAAGAAACCACATCAACTTTAACCTTTGAAATCATGTCTGCAATATTAGCTAAATGCTAATGCACTAAGAATTCAAGGATCTAACGTACTATCTCACAATTTACAACTAAACAATGGACCATTAAGTCTATATTATAGATGGAAATAAAGACACAATGACAACATAGCAATTTAAGTCCAACCAATGTGGTCCTGCTTTGGATATAGGGCTAGAGCTGGAATTAGTTACTCGAATTAGGTGAAGGTATAGATGCTAGACTTGTAAACAGCATATTAAATGTTAAGTCTACTCTTCAAACATACTTAATTATAAGTTTCAACTACCATTAATCTTGACCAGCATACTATTCAATGGAAAAAACTAATGAATTGGTAGACCATTCCATAGTATTCCTTGAGAATAATTTCATTTTTTTCCAATTTAACAATCCCCTTCTAAAGTAACTTAACCGGGATTATGTCATCAACTTCTTCAACATTTTCTTATTTCTTCCTCACAAACCTGTGATGCTTTTAGGTTAGACCCCACAGAATTGATGAAGTCACTGAGAAGGTAAACCAAATTTTACCTAAACTACCTACCTTCCATAGTATACGTTTTCTCTTCCGTCTCTTCACTTCAGAAGAAAAGAATTGAGGTGCGGTCACGCCAGAACTGCAGACTTCTTCTCACCAATGCTTGTTTTATGTATTTTAATAACTGCAGTGTTCGGGCCAGTCTATACTAACCTTGACTAATAGGTGCCGGATTTCATCAGATCATATATATCACTCTCAGCTACATCTCAATACCAAATTTGTACAGGTCAGCTATATGAATCAATGTACTTATAACTCTATTCATCAAAAGTTCAGAACTTTGGTATTGGTCGTAAACCTACTGTAATTTTTTTTATACGTAAATCTTCTTGTTATTTGAACACAGTCGAAATTACATTTCACCAAATCAAACCAACCGAAACACCAGAACAAGTCGACGTTGACTGCTAACTAACATGAGCCACTAGCTACAAACACCATTAACAACCTTCCAAAATTGGAAGTTGGTTACAATTAATACACCATTAATATCTAAAGTATTTGTAATGATCCTAAAGAACAAAACATTTACGCCACATAAACATTCTCCTTTTAGAATTTTGTTAAATTAAACCTCAAACACTAGTTAAGCTAAAAACAACAACATACCCGGTATAATAGAGTATACGCAAACCTTACCCCTATCTCGAGATTTCAAAGCGACTTGTTAAGTTAAGCTAGCAAAATAAATGCATATATGAACAAAAACAAAAAAAAAAAAGATTATACCTGAATACCATTAGGTGAGCCACGAGCACTGAGAACTCGGACCTGAAACTCAGTCTCTTTAATGGTTTTAGGCTTGAAAATTTTAATGGCGGAGATTCGAGGAGCATTTTTTAACAAGGAAAGCTTGTAGGCATTAGAATCCAACGGACTATGAAGGTACAGATCAGAATTCGGATACTCTTTCAGAATTTTCTGTATTATAGAAGGCCCAGTTAGTTCAAACCTACGAGCCCCACCCACTATACACACAGCAATTCTAGACCGGTTCAACTCCTCCTTCGTTACCGATCGATTCAAAAAAACCGGCGGAAACAGAGGCTCAGACCGATCTAAGCCGGTTTGATTCGTAAAAACCGGCGGATGCGGAGGAACAGGGGCGTTATTGTTGAAAAAAGAGTTGAGAGGGGCAAAAGTGGAAAAAGTGTTACTGGCTATGGCGGAAATGGAGGAAAGAGAAAGGTAAAAAAGGAGAGAAAGTAGAGGAAGAATCAAGAGTAAAAGCTTCCAATGAAGATCTGAAGAAACCCATTTTGAACATTTTTTCATCATTTTTTATTCTCTTTGTTCCAGATCTCTGGTTTCGGTTCTTCTTCCATAAATAGAAAACAATAAAAGTTGAATCTTCTTCTTCTTCTACAACTTGTGCTGCTTCCCAATGCTACTGCTCCTATTCTACAAAAACTGTAGCTTGTCCGCCATGCACGGCCAAATGAAGAAATTTGAACTTTTTCTACGGCTAATTTAGTAGTACAAAGTTGGCTGAAAAACGTTTTTTTTTTTTTTGAAGGTAAGGTAAGATAATTATCACAGTGTGATAAAGATGAATCTCGAATGTGAAAAAAGAAAAATACTAAAGCAAGAAAAGAATATGAATATTTTATTTTACATGTATATAACCTATAGTTTACTATAATAATTAGTAATTAATACGTAAATTACATTAGGGAAAAAAATAGTGCTATTGCATTCACTTGAGAGGGAAAAAAATAATTAATGAAATGCAGATGGATGAGTAATTAATTATGGAAATCGAGGAGGGATAAAAAGAGGGAATAAAGGTTTAAAAAGTGAAAATATGTAAAGTAGATCTAGCAATTGACATATATTCTCTACCTGACTAATCTCTTGTTTTGTTAATTAAAATAATTTGTATTTGTTAATCTCAATGAAGACGACACAAGTCATGGCTAATGTCAAATTATATTTATTTGACAAAACACTATATAATATACTTCCTCCATTCCATATTAATTTAATTTTTGAGGTGTTTCACACCTTTTAAGAAAAATAGATTAAGACTAAACATAGTTTTTCATTTTTACCCTTATTAATTATTGTTAAATTTATGATTAAAATAACTAAATATTAATTAATCACTAATTTCAATACTAACTAATGAAGGGTAAAATTGAAAGAACACTTTAAAAGTAGTTTTGAAAACTGAACAATTAAGTTAATTTAAAAAATAAAAAATACCTCAAAAATTAAATTAATATGGAATGGAGGAAGTAAATATTAATTGTAGACATAAATTTTACATTGGCTCTGCTGCCACACCCCATTTTTATGAAAGATATTGCTTTTTTCCAAGTTTGGTATCCGCATTAAGATATGACTTGTTTCGAATTCAAATATTGGAGGGCCTATCTTGGGGAGGTATTCCCAATAATATTTTAGTTAATTTTCATAGATTCAAACTCGAGATCTCAAAGAATGAAGGAATTTCGAGCAATGGTTAAGTCAATTTTTTTATAAAAAAAAAAACTAAAAGGGATTCAATATATATATATAAATTATGTAACTTTTCATTAAAGGGATTCAGATTAACCCGTCGATCCTATCTCGATCATCTCATCACATGAATTTGTTGGGTTCAATTGAACTCGTAGTAAACATGGTATATGCGTCTATGTGTGAATACAAACAAACCCATACTTACAAGATGAAAGCTCGTCGACTTTTCATAACCATTTGGTACCATTAATGACGAGGTTCTACAAAAGCAATGTAGTTTATTTCAAATGAAAATATAGCCATCAACTTTATATTTATTAATAGATGCTTAACTTGAAATCTTAATTACTTCTAGCTTAATTTATTTTATCTAGACTCCAGAGTTGGTCCTTTTAGAACTAGGCCCAAGTTTATAACTATTACTATCTTAATACAATATCATATAATATGTTCCATCATGACAACATTATTTTCATATTAGGGTAAGTACTTTTCCATCCTTAACCAACGATTTCAAGTATGAGACTTGAGAATATAGTCATATGGTAGAGAGTGCTTTAAACCCGATGCAAAAATGATTCAAATCTCTAAAAGAATGAACTAAATGAATAGGCAAAGTATGTTTTGTTACATTGAGAATTGACAATAACAATCAAAATCTAAAAATTTGCCAACTACCAACATTCAACATCAACCTTGTTTGAAAACAAACCAGCTTGTCATTGTGACAAGGTGGGAGGCAACTCAATCTTCTGGAGGCAGAGATGGACCAAAATCCATTGATGGGAACACACCGGGCGGTCTGTCTCGAGGTTGGATTGACAATAACTGGGATGAATCGCCTACAACATCTGCCCATCCATAGTGAGGTTCAGCCCTATAAATAATAAGTAAAAGCATGTTAGTTCAATATCGTAAAAACTATTCATGAATGAGTTTAACTTCTATACGCTAACAACACACAAGAATAGATACATGTAACTATCTGTAGTAAGTGGAAAAAGTTATTTGAAAAATAACATAGGCAACGTGCTGTAACTGTACTGATAATGTCCACGTTATAAGTTAAATCCTACTAACACTAGAACTATGACTTACTCGTAGTAAGTTCCTTCATCCACAACGATGTCCCAACTTTCACCTGTTGTGCTCTTGCCGTACTTGTGCACTTTGCTGATTCATGGAAACAACATTGTTTATAAGTTTCTAAAGTGTAAAAGCGCCATGGAAATGGACATCTAATAAGCTGAATTTTAGTTCAAATTCATTACTCTGACATACCCATTTCCGAAGTGCTCCTCTCCCCATGTCCTGGACCATCCTGGATAATTAGGAAAAGAAAAAAAGATGATTGGTTAACTTGAAACTCAAAATAAGAGACACAGTAATACATATTATGATAGTTAGGGAATTTCTTGTCACAACTTAACTTTCACCAGGAAAAACTTGTAATTGATTTTTGTGTTTTAGCACCTAAGTCCTTTTAGAATGTAAAGATGTAATTCAAATAAATAGAAGGTAGACATACTATCACCGACGGGTGACACATGCCAAGTCTCTCCTTGCCGTGAACCAATTCCAGCGAAAAATTTCTCTTCCCACTTGTCTCCCCATTTTGTTCCAAGCTCAGTTTCTGCCCACTTATCTGTCCTGAGAAAAGGAGCATGGAACGATAAGCAACATAAACCACCTTGTCAGCAACACCAGACCACTAGGGAGGTTTTGACAAACTTTTTCACCCCTTTAACAATGCCGGTTTACCAAGCAATTATAATAATGTCATGAAAAGGAGAGAGTAAAATAAGATGTTTAACAAACCCTCATACTTCAAGCAATGTTGTTGATATCAGTCAAGTTTCTATTGTATGAGATTACAATTCTAGAGGGCCAGTTAGGACATATAATGACCAATGTCAATATTATCTCACCATCAAATTCTAGAACTTGATTTATTTCCAATAACTAGCGCAGTAGCAAAAGTTCAGTATAAACACAGAGGTTTATCTACTGCAAGTGTGAACCCAAAGCAGATTGTTGCAGTTCTAGTTTATTACTATGTCTTGGATGAACATATTCTAAAGTTTTTTTGCTTGTTCAGGTGACATAGCATAACAGCAGTTAAAGGCAAAAGCAGGTCATAGGACTTCAAAGTGCCAAGAGTTTAGTGGTAAAACACTATCAATAGTTACCAAAGTGCCTCCACCAGAACTCCACTATATCAAGAGGGCGAGAGTCTGATGCTAAATAACTAACACAACAAATAGGTATGTACCATTTAAGAACAGATCCTCTTCCATCATAATGTTCTCCCCATTTCTCCCACCACGATTGTTCATTTAATCTGCCATACTTGTGTGCCCCTTTCTCTGTCCAACCCTTTGCATCATACTTTTCCCACCTGCATATGTAATATCAATGATTAATAAATTTTTGTGCATGTATTCATGACCATGTAAACTAATTATTCCCCTCAAAATCTCTTACCAATTTTCATACCACCCAGCGTTCTCAGTGCCTGATTTTGCTTGTTTTTGTGCACTCCTTTCAATCCTAGCAAGATTACTGTAGATTGAAAATGCAGCATAATTATTTTAATAATTCTCCCGGAGCAGAAAAGCAATACTCAACAGCTTATATTATTACAAAATCCAAGAAAACATATATATAACCTCCATTCATCTTGGTGAAGAACTTCCCGCCATGTTTCCCACCATGCGTCCCCTTCAACATTTTTCCCAGATTTCTCAACACCTGTTTAATTATACGAAGGGAAAACTTGATGTTTCATGAAGTACAAAATAAAGGATGACCGTGGAATCATTAGAAACAATTGTAAGATAGAAAATTTAAACCAAATGCAGCAAGGTTATACATATTTAAAGTAAAAAATCATACCAAGTTCTTTGTATCCGGTCCAATCACTTTTCTCCCACCACTGTCAAGGAGATCAACAAATCCAATTAAAAGCATCCACCTGGGATGGTACTTGATAAGGTTATAAAATAATGTCTACAATGAAACTTGGATTCGAATATTTCTTCAACAATAGTTTGTTAAAGAGGATGCAAGAACTTAGTTGCGGTACTTTATCCATCAGAATAAGGTATTCATGGTTAACCAATTAACGTTTTAACAATCTGTCTGTCATATTATTAGCCAATCATTCCCAGACTCCAATCAAAAAAGTACATTGTGTTCAAGTTTAGGACATAAAGTTAACTTTCTGATAGGTAAGCATTCCCCATATTCTGGGATAAGGCACAAGTACCCCCTAGACTATGACCGAAATCCCAGAGACACACCTTAACTAAGCTAAGGTCCTATCCCCCATGAACTTATTTTTTTATAATTTTGTACACCTTTTGTCTTACGTGGCACACTCCGTGACTCCTCGCAATTGAGGCGCGTGGGAGATATTTGGATGTCACATAAGCCAAAAAGGTGCACAAAATTACAAAAAAAATAAGTTCAGGGGTAATAGGAGCTTAGTTTAGTTAAGGTGTGTCTCTGAGATTTCGGTCATAGTCTAGGGGGTACTTGTACCTTTTCCCCCATATTCTAGACACGTATCACTGGCTCAACAATCCAGAAGCCTAGCCAGTATCCAGAGAAAAACATGTGCATTCAAAACCAGCAAAGAAAATTTATTTATGTGATGACTAAACATGAAAAAAGTTTTTGTTGTTCTCCTTTAGCTAAACCTCTACTTCTTGTACTTGTGCCATCAATGTAATTAAGGCATTACAGTTCTGTGTTAAGGTTTTCGCTTCATAATCTTGAGATTGCACATCAGGTAAATATTAATTTATGCAAAAAAAGTGAGATGTCCGTCCTTGGAAAAGGTGATCCCATGTATAGGTTTTCAAGTATAATTTTACAATACAATCTTCAAGATCCACAACACAACCATACACTAATCACAAGATTAAGAACATGCATACCGTTTCTTTCCATTCTAAGGTACCATCACTGCTCTGACCACCCATCCTTGTCCATCGGCATCGGTACCCGTTGTCACCAAGGTCTTCCCCACTCTCCCGATACCATGTACTTCCGTCTTCGTTTACTCCAGTTTCATTGACACTATCATTTAGCATACTGATGCCCCAATCTTTCTCATTAGCAATACCCGTGTCTAAAGAAAGAAAGGGAGATTAAAAATTTTATCATCAGGTGTCATAAAGACAATTACAAATGTAATGCAACTAGAGTAATTATCAATATCATCTGAAAAGAGAAACACTTTTATAAAAGCCAAAAAGGAAGGAACCATAACTACCTCGTTTTGGTGGAGAATCACGGGACTTAGGGCCTGAATTTCTTGGGGTGCATCGGGAAAAGAATTTTTCTGGCTTTGAAACGAATCTAGACCTGCATAAAGAAAAGTTTGATGAAAATCACAAAAAAAAAATTAGAAAAAAGAAACAGCTACTTCCAATCAAATATGAAGGACACACACATGGAAAGATGGAGACTGTAAACCATGAAGATATTCTAGATACTAGAAAGTCAAACACTACGAGTTCACATCAGATTATCAAGCCTATAATGAAGGGTTTGTTGTTGGCCATCCAACAACTATAAGTAGCATAAACTGAGAAAGTGATATTAACAAAATGCAGAATCTTTTTAACAATAGGATAAACTCTGTTTTTTCTTCATGCCTTGATAAAAACATAAAAATACATCCAAATCAATTGTGAAATTCATAGTACGAAATGAAACAAGCAGATTTTAACTAATTACTTTCGCATTACTTCTTAAATAACTAGAATATCCCAGAAACTCATAAAAGTTGCGACTTTAGCTCTTATAATAAAAGTTTATTATTAACTAGTCTAACCAAAATTGAGAAAGTGCAGTTTAAGCATGTATTAAATCCGACGCAATAGAATCTATTACTTTGAGCGTGAAATTGTTCAAAATCTTTGCAAGTGGACATAGCAATAACCGACTAAGAGCTCAAAATAACCTCAGTATAATCCTATACAGATTGGTATCCAGATTGGTAAAAGCAACATATTTGAAAGGGGTTCAGGTGTTAATAAACAATATGATACAAAATTCTCTTTTGTATCAGAATCGGAAAGAACAAAACATACAAATCTCTACACCATATCAATGGCAGAAAGAAAATATTATTTTTTTGTTTTCATTTAAGCTTAATCATAATGTCTGTCCAAAAAAACCCATGTGATGTCTCATCAGCTTCTGCCAAATAACATGTAAAGTTAATTTCTTTCATATATAAATATCACATTACTTCTAAAGCATCCTAAAAACCTAATAAAGGATGTGACTTTAGCTCTTAGAATAATAAGAAAATTACTATTAATCAATCTCCAGCCTTGAAGTGATTCAGCTTAATCATGGATAATGATTTACATTGAATATGACATTGTTTAACAATTTTGCAAGTGGACATAACAATACACACTAACTAGCTCAAAAGAAGCTTATTATAAGTTCAACAACCACCACCAAAGGATGTGGTGTAGCGGATGGGCTGCTCCTCCTTTAACTAGAATTCTCAGCTAAAATCTTTGGAAGAGAGAACTTCCCCCAATGGAATCCGGATTAGTTTGGCTACGACGTGGGTATGGGAACCCCAAAAAATAAAATATTCAATAACCAAAACAACCACCACCCTTTTCGGGTCGCCTTATATGAATTCTCAATATCCATTTTGCTAAATTTGCCTCATTTCATTACATTAATCATTCATGGTTCTAAAAGTATTTCTACAAAAATCTAATTCTTCTTTGAATTCAACCACCTATTCTTGTTATTATGAAGATTGATTGCAAAAAATGTAGTGAATATAAAATTGACTTACTGAGGAGATGCAAAGGGCATTGGGGAAGAAGCTTGAGTTCTCATATAATTAGCAGTGATCTTCTTAGAATCGAGCCTTCCATCGTCACCTTTATCAACGCCATTCCCAGAACCACTACCACCTCTAATTGGCATTACAGAATCTGAACAACAACATTGTATACTGAAGAAACCTCCGATACTACTCCTCTTCTTCCTTCGAAATTCTACAAAACCATTAGGTGATGTAGGAAACACCTCAACTGTGGCCCCTATGGGCGCTGTGAATCCTCTGGAAGAAGCCGAAGCCGCCATTATTGCTCAAAAAAATGCCATTGGAGGCAGAAGAATGTGTTGATAAAGCCCTAGAAGTGAGTGAAATTCAGATGGAGATTCAGAGAAACAGAAAAGAGTTTAGTGAGGTGAATAAAAAAAATAGTAGTAATAAGAAATCAAATAAGATTAGAAGAGAAAATTTAGGAGAATTTTTAGGTACTTATAGATAAAATTAATTTGACTGTAAAGGTACCAAAAAGTAAGATTGGATAAAATAAAAGGATGATTTCGAGAAATGTGGACTCACTAATTTGCGATTGGGTCCACTTACTTGTGATTTGTATCCATTTTGCCACAATGGATTTGCCACGTGTCGCTCAGTAGTCACTATGGGACACACCTTGACAGATCCCTCTTACCCCAAAAACAGCAAGTACAAAATATGTTTCATCAATTATCACCATTATATTAACCTGTTATATGTAATCATATATATATAAAAGAACCCTAGTCCTGCTTACATGGCGCCATCACAAAGCAGAATTCTCTTTTAATTTATTTATTTTCAAAACTAGTCTTCCCCTTTCATGAAAAAAATTATGACTTTTATGAAAAATTGCGACTTTTATGAAGAGTTGAGACTTTTATGAAAAGTTGCAACTTTAATGAAGAATTGTGACTTTTATGAAAGGTTGTGACTAATCCGAAGAGTTGCAACTTTTCCAAATAGTTGTAACATTTTCGATAAGGCACAATAAACATTTGTTCACACTACCCTTTGTTGTCTATAAATTGAGGGATTTTCTCTCATTTTAAAACAACAAAAATTCTTAACCTCTTCTTCTTCTTTTTCTTCTTCTTCTGCACAATTAAACATTCATGTACTATGCTCCTGTTGAGTGGTTCACTGACACCATTGCTTATGTTACAGAACCTGATATGTATTTTTACAGTCATTAATTTATGCTTATGTTATTAAGGATATATGATAAGATGTTATAATTTTCATTTTCCTTTACATTATTAATGTTTGTTACTATGTAAACTTCTATGTAAGATAATATAGTGTTTTAGTTTTAATGACTGATAGGTTTTAAGTATTATTTTATAAATTCCGTGATATTAAATATCCGCGCGAGGCGAGGATAATTTTACTAGTATAATATAATAATGCTTGCTTTCTTTTGAAAATGACTTTGAAACTAGTGAACATATGGTGTCGTAATGGAATCTAACTAATTTTAATTTACATCGTGTAAATAGGGACACATTCATCTTACGTAACCTTTGATGGTAAGATGTATTTATGGTTACTTATGTTTCGTTCATTGAATATTGAAATTTGTGGAGTAATATATAAATGGTTTACCAGTGTCATTCTTTTTTTATACTTTTTTAGTCATGCCATTTATGAATGAGTCACTAAAATATTCACTAGAACCAAGATATTTTATATTTACCTGATTAAGAAATGTAGAAATTTGCCTATGAGTTGGTGGAACTAAAAATAGTAAAGACAAGAAAAATGATCCCTTTGATATTGTCTCCACTTGTTCAAGCAATTAAAGAAGCTATTGCATGTGGGAAATTAGCATAATATGGTAACCAAATTACGGCAGGCAGGAGTAGCGTAATACAATTATTTGAACCGTCACTTCCTCTGTCTCCTTTAACAAAACTAATCAAGCAACATACTATCAGTAATTAAGGTGTGATTTTAGTGATCAATGAAATAAGATGTATAGATTAAGACATTTTTTTAGTAAAGACAAAATAAATATATAAGTAGGTGAGTGATCCATTTTTCACCTAAGTTTTAGCAGACAACAAAAGCAAATCAATGATTTAAACTTCAATTAGCATTGAACTCATTGGATATTTGAAATTATGATTGAGTTCAAAACTAATATTATTTTTTGGGTTATGTATCAAAAGTACTAAGCTCAGTTGAATTTGTAGTTAAAAAACTCCATCCATCACTAGTGGGACAAAGTTATTATACACATGTGCTGGTGAGAAGTAACACAGAGGTAATGCAATAATCAAAGTGGGTTTGAACATCGATGCACCATGCATGTATGAAGTATATTCAAGTCATCTACGTTTTCTCAACAATTTGTATAAGGTAATCCCATCCTGATTCTTCTTTAATTAAACAACTGATTTGAGTTTGGTTTCACTGTGATATTAAAATAATGGATCTATTTAGCTAGTGTTTAACCATAGATATTGAAATTTTAATTCAAATATCTATTTGATCATGAAATTCAATGAATTTTGAGAATTTATCTTTAAAATATTTTCAAGTTCCCCAAAAACTAGTCTGAAAAATTTCAGTTCCACCCACACTCCAACTCGAATTTCAAGTTTCAACTTCAAAATCTACGCCCAACTGGAGCTTATAAAAGCCTACTATGATAATATTCACATCTCAAATGGTACATACTCCAACCCTCACTTCTTACTACTCCTTCTGTTATCACTTTTATTCTAGCCTTTTGTCATAAAAAGAATGCCTATTAATTTTGAGGGGAAGAAAGTATTTACTAATTGGTGCAACAAAATTAATGAGGCTGAAGAAAAGGAAAATAAATTAAAACCATACGAATCACTGGTAGAACCTTACCCTGCTCACCACATGTCGAGAGTAAAGTGTCTGATGACATGGAACAAGGTACATGCTGACGCTGAAATCTGAACACTATGGATAAAGCTGACTCACCACATCATCCACACATGACTACTGCACATTTCATGGTGAAAAACAGCTCCACGTGTACATGTGAAAAGATGACTACTTTAAAAATGATTTCTGACCCTGACTTTTGCTGTTGAACTAGGAAACCGAATTACTTTTGACAAGTTGTAGATATGCTATCCCTGTATGTTTGGATAAGCTTTGGGTCAATTCAATAACTATTAAGGGGGTAACAGATTGGAAATCTAAGGTTGAAAACTTTTATAGCCACATCTTTCCCCCTGCATTTTCAAAGGCACTTCCCTGTTTTTGCATCATCATACGCATCACTAACACAAATTAAATGGTAAACACCTATAAGACTCTAAGTTTACATCAAATCAATAAATACATACTCAAATCAACTAATCAGCCTGAAAAACTAACTGCAATCACAAAGGTATCGTGTTATTAAGGAACAATATATTTTCGCAAAAATAAACGAATACAATAAAAGAACCCGATTATCTGTGTTCAAGGAAAAGTGATAATTAACACTTGGCCACAGAATAGTAAGTCTAGTTTAGTGAATAACGTTGAGTGGGTCCCATAATGAGTACCTGGTCGGATGTCCACGGGAGAGAGAATCTAAAAGATGCAAAGATGTGACATCACTCTTTCCTGACCCTCTTAAACGTGCAAAGATATAACAACCACAAACTATAGTGAATGGAAAATGTAAATGGCCATGTGCCATACGCTTAAGCAAATTCAATCTGGAGTGAAGCTGCAGGCTTAGAAGCTTCCGCATGAAAATGAACTGCAAACGTCATACTAGATAAAATTAAAGAGACCTCTTGCAAAATTCTACATTCCACCTCAGCAGCGTTAACTCCATCATTAACACATGGTTCAATTTCAAGAATACAGATTTGGAGGGGGACATACTGGAGTGATACAAACATAAAAAGAGATGAGTAGTGTGGCAAAGGGATAATGAGCTCAAAAGATGGATCAAGAGTTCATACTTACTTTGGGTTGTACTGATTTATTTTCTTGGAAGATGAGGCTTGGTTGATTCTACAACCACCTGTTACGAAAAAAGAAGGAAAAAACGTTAAATTAAAACAAAATAACACTTGGTGCCAATTCTCAGAAGCTACAATGCCAGTTCTCAACTTAAAATAAGACAACTCTGTTAGACTATTCATCATGTATTAGAAATAATAAGCAAATTGCCAAAGAACATTTTCTATGTTATCCTGAAATTGGCTCAGAACTCCAACACAAGAAAAGACGCAGATGCGACCAGAAGGAAAATCATAACTTCACTTTTTTTTTATTGAGAATGTATTATAACTTCACTTTATATTCCTTATAAATATAGAATAATAGAACCATGATGTTAAATAAATGTATTGATTGAACAAGCTAAAGATGGCTATCAAAATTAACAAAAGATTATTATTTAAATTTCTCACACAAAATTTACTATTTGCCTATTGTCCAAAAAATAAAATAGCATTTGCAGCAACACCTCCTATTGTTTATGCAAACCAAAGCAAGAGTAGTTCAAGATTGCAAAATCTGCTGGTTAATATCCAGAGACGTATATTTTTTTCTTGGTTCTTCTGACGAATACCCATAAGAGGCCTTACCCTTCCATCATATGACAATGATGCAAATATCCATGGCTCTCGACAGCTCCAAGCAAGTCCTAGAACCAAGATGGACTAGTCAAATGTTGCTTAAACACTCAGCTGACAAGGAAACAGCAAGTGTGTACTTACCATATACACTGTCTTCATAGTCACTATATGAATTAAGCAATGGATCCACTGGCTTATTAGGGGAGTCAAAGCTGAAAATCAACAAACTTTATGAGATACAGTGAGAGAAGATACTTTTCGAGTGCTTCTTCTTTTTTTCTTTGTTGGGCTTCTCTTCCTTTTCTTTTTTACAGAGAAAGGGCGGAGGGTTTACGGAAAGGACCTCTCTGAAGTTGGTTCGTCACTACTAGGAGGAGAAGCCAGCCACAGATTGACCGCAGAATCAGTTCCAGCACTCTGCCAAACATTTTGTTTCAGCAACTAAAATATCAATGACCAAGGTAGACACGCGACTTGTTTTTAATACTAAAACTATATGCATAGTAGATAAGACATGGCACATGCTGACAAGAGCTTTCAGTGCAAATGTAGCTAAAAGAAGCTAAACATCCTATATGTAAAAGTATCAGATAGACTGCTTTTATTTTCTGGGGAAATTCAGCATAGAAAATTGTGGCTCAGTGAGTGCCTATTTGGATTGGCTTATTTTAGGTGCTTTAAGCCAAAATAGCTTTTAAGCAGTTTTGAAGTGTTTGGGTAAAGTTAAAAAGTGTTTATAAGCACTTATTTTAAGGCCAAAATAACAAAAATAAGCCAAAAGCCATAAGTTAAGAAATCCTAACTTATGGCTT